ACATGTGTGCGAGAGCGTGTGCAGAAGCCGAGCTGTGAAACAAAAAGCAATTGTCACATAAACAAAGTCTCACGTAACTGCTATAAATATGCGAGCAAGAAAGAGCGAGGTTAACATTGCGTATGAGTTATATCTGCTCTTCTGCACATTTGGCCACCCCACTATAGTGGGTATACCCCACCTATAATGCCATTTTCTTTGTAATGCAATGCGCGAATAACAAAGAGAAACAACCGCAACAATAAATAAAGTGTAACATATGCAAATGATGATGAGAAGCATTTCGATATGGCGGCTTCTTCTTCTGCCAATACAGAGAAACAAATAAATATGGTATTGTTATTGCTACGTACATTGCTGACTTTTTGAAAATTTAATTTGCATGTGTTAAGATGCTTAAAGCTCTAATAAAAGTTATTTGTTTAGCAATTAAAGCAATTTCTTTCCTTACAAAATTTAATTATATATAAATGAAAAATATTCTAAATAGCATTGGGCTCACGAAACCTTAAATTTAATGAATAAAAATATATTTCGTTTGTTTATACTCTTTGCTTTATATTAAATTTATTTCCTTTATGTGTATTTCTTCGAATCCTCTTCAGCTGCCGTTTTACTGATGATGATGACTGCCGACGTCCGATGTCCAATGTCCTTGGGCACCAAAATGAATATGCAACATCGAACAGGTTAAGATGATGAGCAGGAGCAAACAGACTTGCTCCGGGGGTTCTGAATGCAGGAAAACCCACAAAAACCGATTGATTTTAAAAGTGCAAGAAGCAAGAAACAAGCTGCAATACGTATATAAACGTAATTGTTACAATTTCAATCTCGTTGGAGAACGGAAAAAGGAAAACTTCATCGAAGTTCGGAGAGACACCCGCACAGACCATAAAACAAAGGCGGACCGCGGCAACATGCACGTCAACAACATGTGGCGACAACAGCAGCAGCAACACCAACGACACCAGCAACATCAACTGCAGCAGCAACTTGCGCCTGTTGTCATTTGCTCAATTCCCACACACATGCATATGAGAGCAAAGTTTTTTCTTTAATAAAATTAAATTTAATGCTGCCAAATGCTCAGCGCCAGGCACTCGTTCGGTTCAATGTTTTTTTTTGCACATCTCATTTTTTGTTTTTTTTTCTGCAGCAAATTGCATGGCTGACAACCAGCGCAAGGATGACGACGCCAGCAACCGCAAATGCAAATGAGCTACAAATGCAATGCACATGCATAAAAAATGAAAACGGTTAAATTGCTGAGAGAAAGATGCAGATGGCGATGGCGATGGCGATGGAGATGCAGGCCCATCCGCAGGGTATCCATAAGTTACGCTCGAACGACATTTCTGCCCGCCAACGGTCCTCACGAAATATGATTAAATATTGTAAATGCCAAAAGTTATGAAAGGCTCACTCACTGGGGGCCGCCCCAAAGAAGTCGGTTTTGCGGGTCGGCATGCAGACAATTCCGATTCCAGTTTTTGGGGGCGACGGCTTACGCCCACTGCAGAATATCTATGGATGTGGTATAATGGATAAGTGCAACGGCCACACCTTCGAGACACAATGCAAGTCACAGGGGCATCAGGTTGCCTATTTTGGCCAGAGGCAAGTTGCAAGAAACAAAGGAAATGCCACCAGAAAAGGACAATTTAAACAGGTCTTCGTTTGGGAATTTTTAAATTTACAATACCACATTTTTCTAGTTTAAGTCAGAGGGAATCTCGTTAGCATAAAATACAAAGTATATATAATACTCAAAATTTATAGTATATATAGTAGTATAGAAGTGTAAAATGAGTATCTATAAATGTTGTATACAAATTATTTAACTTAATACAGCATAATTTATGAACTATAAATTGCATTGTTATCATAGGGCTTTAAACTCCGTTCCAACTAAACATCCCAAACCCATGTTGTCTATGAAAATCCACAGCAAGTCAATCCATTTTCCAATACCATTCCATATAAGCACAGTATTAAAACGATTTACCCCCTCCATAAATGTGATCGACTTTCTAAAAATAACCCAGCGAATCCCTGGTCATGTCAGCTGTTTTTCTGTGCACGAGGAAAAAATATTTTTTGTCGCAATTTAATTGACCGCAACACCTTGAAAACAAAAGTGGCGGGGAAAAAGAGTGTGCATATTTTAAATTTATAACAAGTTTCGCGCTATGGAAATGCAAAAAGGGGGAGATATGGCCAACGAGTCATGCCAAATATAAGCAACGAAACGAAAGACGGCTAAAAAAAAAGTAATTGTAGCTAAATGTCAAATGCGACAATTGTTGCCTTAGTTGCTCTTGTAGTTGTTGCCTTTGTCGACTGGCGTTGGCGACTGAAATGCCCGCAAAGTGAACGGTACAAGCTGAGCGGTCAAAATGGGAGGGAAGGAGTGGGAGGGGGAGGGAAAGGGGAAGGGGGAGGGGGAGGAAGAGGGGCAGGGGAGGCTGGCGGCCTGGTGGGTTGGTCAATTGGTTCGTGGCAATGGTAACAGAGTGCGGCACTAAATGAGGCTTAACTTGAAATGAGCATACTTAAAAAATAAAAAGATTCGATAATAACATCACAAGCAATACATTTTAAAAATCAATTAAATTTCAAAAGAATTTTTAATTTTACAAAATTTAAAATAGGTTCCCACAGACATTTTGTAGTTTTTAAAATTCAATTACAAAATAATATTAAGGAAAACTCCATTCCTGACTTTAACAAATTGTATCGAAAGCAAATGAAATATTTTTTTTTTTCAGTGCCAAATAATACTATGTCACTTGTATCCGAGCGCAACTAAGGCAGGGTATCGAAGCAATTACTCGAGCCACACTAAATATGCTAATTATGCGTTAATAAGCGCTCTGGCTAACGGGGCGTATTGGTTATGTGGTATACCTACCTATATATCTGAATGCAGTGTGTGAGATAATTCCTCGGTGATTTGGAGCCAACTGTTAGATTCATGCTCTGTCACCTCGAGAGACTGGCGACTCTGGTGACGCCAAAGAATTATTGCGAAATTTGCGATTTTTACTGCCAACAACCTCGAGCCGTTTTGGCTTTAATTATGAACAATCAGGCAGGCAAGCAGCCAGGCGGCGTTAGTAGTTGTTGCCGTTAATGTTTGTTCTCTCGCTTTTTGCTTTTGCTCCTTTTTGTGCATGTCAATCAAAAGAGCTCAAAGTCGTGATTTGATGATTTTCCTATGCCGCAACGAATTTGTTGCCATTGCCGCCGTGGGTCAGGCCACAGAAATCCATTTGTCAAGTAGAACAGCAACCTCAAGTTGTCTGTCCGCCTGCCTGTGATTCTGAGCCCGCCTGTCCTTCAATAATCGTTGCCAAAAGCACTGACGGCGGCAAAAACAATGAATTATTGAAGCCAACAAATTGTGATTGCGGAGAAAGAGAATTCTAATCAAAAGAGAGAGGCATGAAATCTTTGATTTGAGCATTTATTTGATGAATTATGAAATAATGTAGAAAACACAGAGGACTTAGAAACAATTTCTATGATTAAGAATTCTTGAATGAGATTTATTAAATAATATACAAATAATGCTGTATTAGGACTTAAAATAATATGAAAGGAAAACCATTCGCTGCGATTTGAAAGGTTAAAGTTAATAGATAAAATAATATAATAAAAACCTTGTAAAAAATATAACAGTTCGTTGGGGCAGTTTTAAATACAAATTTATAAGTATGCAGTTAAATTTTGTTGCTGATGTAAGCTTATAAACATTTTTAAGCCATAAAAAATCGGCAGTAAAACTTCAACAGTTTATGATTTATGGGATTAAAAAAAGAATGATCGCCGCAATTATATCGAGAGCTGGCGCCAGCAACTCCGAACAACGACATCTGTTGCGATCTATGAACTGGGCTTGCTTGCTTTATTACAACATCTCCGAGGAGCCGGGCACACACATAAATTGAACAATGTCACGAAATAAATTTGTCTAGAGCTCGGACCTCGGTGCAGAGGAAACGAAGCCGAAACAAAGGCAAAACTGTTTCAGCAAACGTCTGTTAACGTTGGCTGATTTTTATTTATTTCGCTGACTTTTTAGCAAGTTGCTAACTTTTTGTTTCTTCTCGTTTTACTGCTGCTCCCACACCGCCCCCTTTTCGACTCTTTGACTTTGTAGCCACAGCCGCTGCCGCTGTCGCTGACTTTTGGTTAATTTATGCAACGAACCAGTTTGCTTTGGTTTCCATCGCGTTCGCTCAGTGTCAGCCAATCTTGGTATATCTCTATACCGCCGCACATATGTATCTATATATATATCGAATTAAAATTTTATTAAAACATTGGCATTTGGCCGTTTGCTTTTTGTTAATTGCATTTGCAATTTCTAATTAAGTTGGCTTGGCAAAAACAAAAAATCTAAGAAGAAATAACAAAAGCAGCGATCATAAAGTTTCCAACTGGTTTGGGTCAGCGGCTGTCAGAGGTCTTTTTTCGAGCGGATCTCTGGCGACTTTGCTTTGCTTTTGCCGTTAATTTGTACACCGAAAAATATAATGTATTTTAAAAATTGTATAAATAAAAGTACAAGTTCATTAGTCGATTATAATATAATAAATTCATAAACAAAAAACAAAAATAAGTTGGTAACATTTTAATATCTCGGACTGATTTGATACATGCTAGAAATTTGATGTGTCTTTCTTAACAAATCCACAAGGTCCTTGAAGCTAAAATACTTTTACTTGCCAGTTTAAAATTTTTAATTTCGATCGACTTTGCATACAAAATATTTAATTTTTGAATATTGCTTATAATAATTACGCTCCCTTATATTACCATTTCAATTTAAATAATTATTTCCAACATGTGTATATGTTTTTTCCAGTGTACCCACGGTTCAATGCAAACGAGAAGCTCTCAGCCCAGCCAGGCTGAATCAGCTACCAGTTTTTTTTCTCCCCCATTGTACCATTAAAAAGAACAAGTTTCAAAAGCGTTTTCAATGCAAAAATCTTATCAATAGTATTTATTTACACAAGCTACATACAATTAATCAAAGCGGTCTGATTGATTCGCCACTAATCCTGTTTTGGTGTCTTCTCCTCGCTCTTCTGCTGCCGTTTGGCCTCCTTTCTCAGCTTGGACACGTTGCTCCGCAGTTTCCGCTTGAACAGAAGCTCCCGGTTGACCGCCTTCAGGTCGTCCATGCTGCACGTCTTCAGGTTGCGCACCGTATTGGAGATGAGCTCGTCCGTGATCTCGATCTTGGTGCGGGAAAGCCGCAGCTGCCGGGCATTCCGCCGGGCCAATTCGACACGGTACAGGAACAGATGATAAGTGACGGTGGGCTTCAGGAATTTCTCGTGTTCCATGGTTCGTTTAACAGAATGGATTTAAGCTGGGTGAAAGTAAGGAGTTCCTTTCTCCGTGACTTCTCGTCGCCGAGTGATATCCTCCCTCCCCTAACACCGGTTTTTATATATCTAACCGAACCTTTGTTTAGTTACCTGATACAAGTGACCTGTGCTCAGGTCAAAACAGGTCAAGTGCTGCCTGTCTCCCCTGTAAATATTTGTGCCAAAATATTTCATTACCTAATCCGGTCTAATCCCCATTTTGGATCTTAAGCCTTCTCTCGGTTGACCAGAAATTATTATTGCTCATTATGTTAGGGAAAGGGTGAGTAAAAGTGATACCGGGATTTAAAAGGGACCATACACCTGGCAAACTTGCACTAACTTGTTCAAAATCTGCAACAGAAATGTCTGGAAATGAGTTTAGAGGAAGGGATTTAAGCAGTTCTTGATCAGGGGACAGATTTACATTGCTTCAGTTGAATTTATAAAAATAAATATATTTATATATAAGTAAAAAGGAAATTTTATAAATATAAACAAAGCACAACGACTTTATAGTACATTTTTTATTTAATCCATAAGTTGAGCTAAGAATTTAGTTAACGAATTCCCTTGTATTTAACTATATATATTTATTGCAATGATGAAATTAATATATACTACATTTTAGCATGGAATATTTCTAAAGATTTAACTACGACGGATAAAATTTTTCAAATTTAAAACAGTCGCATGATTTTATGCTATGTTAATGAGCATATATTCAAAACCAGTGGTCTTTTTAAAAAAGGCAGCAATGTTTTTCAACACATATTCTTTATATCAGAAACGATATATGAATAATACTTTCGAGGGTATTCCCACAATCTCTTACATTTAAATTCTAACTTCTAGATACAAATGTTCAACGGTACATTTATTCAAATATTTTTTGAAATATGTGTTAACAAGATGTTTAAGTTAATTGACAGTTTAGTACAATGAACCACATTTTGAAACCATTGTAATGGCTTTTTCCCACCGCATTCTCAACCATGCACTCCCATAAATTCTTAGCAGTGTTCCCAAGAAGTTGTATTTGTTCTTTGCGTTTAGCCCAAAGCGAACCTTTCACCGACCACCATTCCAAAGAATTCTTGGGGCACCTCCAGCGTTGAATCTCTAAAAGAGTTTAAGCCACTTCCAAGTAAGCCAGCACAAGCAGAGTTTTGTGACTCACCACCTGAGTGGCATAAACGTAAAGTACGTCTATTTACACATGTGTCGTATGCATTTGCATGAAACGCTAAAATGCGTATGTAAATGTAAATCATTAGCATAACTGCAGTTCCCGAAAGACCAGAGTTTTTGCAACTTAACTACTTCCAGGTAATTCATAACGAAAGTGGATGTGCTCGACTCTCGGGTCGAGGGTTCCTCCTTCAGGTCAGAGATGGCATAATCCTTTTATAATTGCACTTAGTAGCTAAAATGTAGCGAAAACAAAAGGATTTCGAAACCGGATTAAGAACTTTGGGAAAGACCACGCGCCGGATTAAGCAAATGTGCAGCATCAGCGTTTTATGGCCCCATCGAGGCCACTCGACCTCATCCTCCTGCTCATTTGTGGGCTAACAGGTAGGCAGGCAAAGGTCATAAAGGTGGGTCAGAGGCTGGCCAAAAAGGCCATGCGATGCGGGCTAGCAGCCATTTTGACCAACTGCTTTTGACAGCTCGCCGACAGCTTCCAATTCAACGCGCTCAATGAATCGCGCCACGAAATGGATTTGGTTTTGGTTTTGGTTTGGGTTATGGATCTGGATTTGGGGGCACCAAGTCTGTGCGTGTCGAGGCATATATTCCAGTATATAGTATATCAACCAGACGAGACAATCATAATGATTGCTGTATCACCGTCATTATTATCGCAGACCCTTGCATTTAGCAGCCAAATGGCCATTGAATCATCATTTATTTAGCCCCCAAGAATTACCATAAAATACGAAGCAACTTTCACTGGTCATTGTTATTGTTATTACCATTATTATTCGGGCCTAATGCAGCTCAATAAATTTCCCTTAAAAGAATTCGTTGATAAGCCCCAGACAATGCTAAGGGAATTTTCACTTTCTTTCCGTCGTAATTAAGTTGAAATTAACTTGATTCGAGGCGTTTTTAGAGCGGGGCCGCGTGTCAATTACGTTAAGTGAAATTACAATTACATGAAAAGCATTTTTAAAATCATCTAACCAACCCACATTAAATCGCTTTTATGGCAGCGTGGGTGGGGGGTCAAGCCAAGGTCGCAGACATTCGTTCATAAATAAATATTTAACACGCAGTCCTTCAGTCCGTGAGTTGTGGCGCAGAAAAAAAGGAGAACGAGTACCACTTTGGGATTATATTTATCACTTCATGGCATTTCATTAAATATATATGTTTTTCATTTGCCGAGAGTTGAGAGGGAATTTGTTTAGTTGCAGAGGGTTTGGGTTAAAAAGACAAACATTTCTTCGGGAATGGTTTAATGTCGAATGAAATTCTTAAAAACTCAAGGGCGGGGAAAGAAAGTAAATTTAAAATTTCTTTACACTTGCTTTGCGAGCTATTTTATAAGTTACTTTAATCTTTGAAATAACCCTTTAAAAGTTTTAAATTTTAATTTAAGTTATATTAATCAAAATAATCGTAAGTTAATGGAGTACTATTTTAGAATAAATAAATTCTTTTAAATTGACTAAATTTTAAAATAAAAAATTACCATGGAAGGAAAGCAGCTAAGTATATGCTCTTTTTAGTAGGGGTTAATATTTCTTTAATATTTAAACAACAATGCTCTCAATTGTACTGTAAAACTTTTTATTTCATTCAATAACATATATTTTTCAAGGCAAGCAGATTTTCATTGATAATTTTTCCACTGGCAAGTGCTGTTCACTAGTTAATCATGGCTCAAAAAGATTGAAAAAATCCGCAGACACTTAGTCACCATGTAATCTTCTCTCTTATCCCCATATTTATTCAGTGGCTAGCTCAGCAGTAATGTGTTTTAAGCAAAAGGTCAGACCATAAACATTTTCCACTTGGCCAAATGCCGCGCAACACAAAAACACGACTCAAAGCCAAGAGCCACCCTCACATGTGCAACTTTGACCTGAGATGTCAAATATTTAACAACTTTACAAGGGATCGAAAATGGAGAGAGGAAAAGGAAGAAAGGATCTGGTTTTACCGAAGCACTTCAGGTAATTACGTAGAGCACACAAGTCAGCAGGTCAGTCGGCGGGTCAACAGGTAAGCTACCTGTGCCCCAGATATAAATAATCCTGGCAAGGCGGAAAAGGACATCATTCACAGCTCTTGCTGCCAAGCAGTCACAGCTCGCTCTGTCACAGATTTCAGTCTATATTAAAACCTAAAAGCAAAATAAAGATAATCATCTGAAATGGAAAGCCAACGTAATGCCGTCAGCCACCGACGCGGAGCTCGTCCGAGCGTGGGCTATCTGCTGTTCCAGTACCAGAGCGAACTGACCCGCCGTCATGCGGAACCCACGCGGCTGTCCCGCACCAAGATCCACATAATCGACGGCCTGGTATCGCGCACCATCCGCCACATGAAGAACTGCAGCATGGAGGACCTGAAGGCCTGCAAGAGGGAGCTCGTCTACAAGGAGCAGCTGTGCGCTCAGCTCAAAAACATGCGACGCAAACGGTCCTCCTCCGCCAACAACACCAAAAATGGTGAAAAAGACAACAAGACTCAACCCACTGTAAGTGTCAAGGCGCCGAGTACTCCACCGAAACCACGATCGTCCCGTGCCGGACCCCCCAAGATGGACATCGTCGGACCGGAAATCTTTGTCTAAGTCAAACTTATTCTATTGCAATTTCAAATTCCATAGTCTAGAACACACTTTATCCTTAATTGTTGACGATTAAAAATCATAGAACATGATATTGTATATACACAAATACATACTTAAAAAAGAAAACAAAATATATGGCACTTTAAAAGCAATACCACAAATTTGCATTTTTTAAATGTTGGGTTTTTTTTAGTGGGGTTATAACTGGATTAATTTTTCTAAGGCGGATAAAAAATCTTCAATTAGAGTATCGAAACCTTTTTCAAATAATTTGGTTTGATTCAACAATAAACTATTGCCACCTAAGACAACACAAATAATAAGCTTTCTCTTCCTTTTTTAGACTTGTGAGATATAATAAGAAATTTTTAAATGCTTAAATGTTTTAGACTTTTGAGATATAACAAAAAATATTTACACCCTTAAAGTTGCATTAAAAAAAACAAACAAGTAAATGGTAAGTTAATTAGCAATACAAAAGTATTTAGTCTTAGTAAATCCATTTTATTCTCAAAATTAAAATTTGAGTTTCAGGTTTTATTCATACCCATATACTTCCAAAGACAAATTGAATTATAAGAAAACTCCAAAACTCGCAGTTGATTGGAACGATTAAAGACCTAAAATCATCTTAAATTCGAATCGAAAATTACAGAAATAAAACTGGCAATTACACAAAAATGTCAATTGTCGGCGAATTTGTTGTAGGAGTGGAAATTCCTGTTCTGTAAGCCTGTTTTTCGGCTCTGTTTTTGCTAGCTAGCCAGGGCTAAAATGTGTGCCGCGAAATGCCAGGCCCGAACTCGAACGCGAACTCGGGCTCAAGAGTCAAGAGTTCCCACGAAGCAGCATCGATCCATTGAAAATTGGCCACCACTCACCGATCTGTGATAGATGCGTCCGAGCCGGAGAGCCGAGAAAAAACCAGGCAGTCAGGCCAAGAATGCGGTTTAAAGTTCAATCGTGCAGCAAGTGTTATTTAGGGGTTTGCAGAAGAAGGAACATCGATCTGTTCGGGAAAAACGTGAGCTGTGCGATGCGAAGATCTAACCGAAGCTTTCTTCGAACAACCAAAACAGAAGTTATGAACCTGCGACATCATCGACTGATATGCAAATCGTCAGCGGGAGAAATGTATACTAATGAATATATTAACCAAATCAAGTTCAGAGCAGTTCTGACGTTTTCACAATTTACCTCATTAGCTTTATGCCCCTTGGGCATCTAATATCTATAGTTTGTATTATTTCTTTTTCTCGCTTATTTAAATGCATTTGCTTTACCTTGTTTGGTGTTTTTGGGGCCCAAATTAAACGTTGAAATATTCCACTTGCTGTACAGATTTGTTGCTTTCTATTTGCATATCGCTGGGTACAATAAATTATGAGCACAATGTTAACTGGCGAACAAATAGAAGAAAAACGCACTGACCGAGTGTCGTTTTCTTTTTCTCTTTTTATCGGACACTCTATATTTTCTTTCTTATTTTCGATTTTGGCAAACACTTTTGAGTGAAATGCAGCTGTAGCAACTGCTGCTCTGGTTGTAACTGTAGTTTAGACACAAACACGTTTTCTTGCGGCCAGCCCAGTAATTACGGCAAAAGGCTATTTTAAGGCCCCCCCATATCCAAAACAAAACAACAACGAAAGCCGATCCAAAAACGAAACCGAGAAATGCAATCGCTGGCCAAAATGCAACGCGGCGAAATGGAACGAAAAGCGAGTTAAAAAGCTGAATAGTTAACAAAACTAAAAAACTAAAAAGCCAAAATGCAAATGGTAACACGCACACCGCAAAGCAACGTACCGTACACACACACACGCACACACAAAGACGTGGGGAAAACGTTCGTTCTTCGGCGAAGAAGAATCGTGTTTATAGATTTGTTTGGACAGTATATATATATCCAACGGATCGCGTCGCGTTTCGAGCTGCACGACGGTTCACTGACGAATGACCAAAAGTTTCAGCTGCCGGACAGCTTGAAGTTCGAAAAGCGCGCCGCTCCGAGTTCGAAAAGCGAGCAGATCGCGTTTTCCCGCTCTCTAGAAAAAAAAAGAGAGCTAAAGATCTTCGTCTCCGAAGATCTCAAGTTCGTTGCCTGAGTCTTTCGTTTTTCCTCGTGTTTTTTTTTTCGTTTTTTGTTTGTGGGCTTAGAATCTGTAGTCTGGCTGTTGCCTTTGATTTATTGTCCAACAATAACTGTTTTTTTTTTTCTTTTGTATTGTGCGTTGAACTTGTGAGGGAGCGAGAGGGACAACAAATGATCGATTTTTTGATGACACACTTCCCCCGGAAGATTTGTGTTTTTTTTTATATTCGGGTGTTATTTGTTCATCTCTCTTAGATCGGTTAATCTTTGGCTCTCCGGTTTGTGCTTTAACTTTCGCTACTCGTCGCTCTCGTTTGCTCAAAGACTTTTACTCTCTAGCCCAGCGCAATTACGATCGCAGCTCTCACTGCTCTCACTCGAAGTTTTGTCTTCGGTTTTAGCTCTGAATTCGCTCTGTTTACTCCAGAAATTACCACCTAGCGCTGGCTCCCTCACTCCCAGGGCGGCTTTTAGCTGCTTGAGGCTTTTTTTGTTGGTCTACCCAACATCGAATGACTTCTTAACGGTTCGCTACTTAATGCTTCGTTTTTCGTACACCGAGGAAAAAGCTAACAATTGTTTTTAATGGCTTTAATAACACTTAAATAAGTCAAGCCGATATGGTAATGTAACGTTTATATAACTTTTGATCTCAACAAAGATTTCTACATTTACGTAGATAAAGGTAAATCGATATTTTAATCAGTTTGCATTGATTTTTTCTAATTTTTCATTTACAATTAAAAATAAAGTACAAGTTTTTTAAATAGTTTATGCGTTTGGAAAGTAATCTACTTACTTTAATGAGAAAACAAAAATATTTCAATATATTAAATATTATTTACTATGTTTGTGTTGAAAAATATTAAAGGCATTTCTTAAAGTGGAAATTTTAATGTTGCCCATGTAGGCCAAAAGGCTCTGAAAAATGCGTACTCGGAAGGCAACCAAATGCTGTTTATATATATCGACGTTCATAGTAATACAAAGTTGTTTTGATCGAACTGCGTTGCAAAACCGAGATTATATTAGAGTTTATTAATTAATTAATTTTAAGCTGGATATTTTTAAAGGAAAATTTATTAAACAATCATCTTATTAATAAAGGTTGTAATTAAATTTAATTATTAAATAAACATTTTTAATATTCTAGCTAAAACATGGATAAATTTTATTCAAAAATCAAGTCAAATTAACCAAAATCCTATTTTTCTTCCCAATTATTGAAGATTTTTGATTCTCTCTAAGAACTTTTCAATAACAATTTTCTATTGATTTTTTTTGCTGTGTGGTAGTTAGTTTTTTGTCATTGGCTGCGGCTCTCACACAGGGCCATCTCACATCCCCCGCTGCCCGAGGAATTGCAGCTGTTATTGTCATTTTGCTTTTAGCAGCAGCTTCACCTCAACTTAGTTCAGTTCAGCTCGGTTCGCTTGAGCGTGAATTCTGTGGTTTTCAGTCGATTCTTTCGGATACCAAATCACTTCTCCGCGTTCCTTCTCCGTTGACTACTATCAGCACTGTCATCGTTGTCGTTGTGTCGTTCCCCTTAGTGTTATTGCTGGCGCTTTTTGCCTTCTGCGATTTTTCCTTAGCTATTCGCAGTTTTCCCTGCGCCATGCCTAACATCAACGCTTGTAGGGCTGCTCTGCCGATAGATCTGCCATATAGCTGTATGGCTATGAACATTTATATATATATAGTATACCACAAACCGAAACCGCAGCAGTCGGCAGCCGATATGATCTGATTTATTGTAGTTTCCCGACTTCTTGTTGTTGCCCGTCGTCTGTTAAAATATTTATTTACAATTTTCACAATTGGCATTTCAGTTCAGCGAGCTTGTCTCTGATTGTTTGATTGCATTGTTGCCATTGTTATTGTTATTGTTGGTGTTGCAGTTGCTGCAGACTGTTGCCCCACTTTTACTTATGCACATAAATAATTAGAGTATTTATGTTGTAAACTGCTTGATAACAACATTTGCATCGTTAGCCAAGTTAGCATAAGTATGCCTCAAGTTTTAGAGAGGGTTCTGTGTGTGTGTTTATCTTAATTTGCCGAATGTATTTCCAATATCCTTCATTCTCATTGAGGTACTAGAAATGTTTTGGAAAAGTCAAATAATCAAGAAAGCGCTGTTGACATGTTAAATTAAATCAAAGAAAGGAAATATTTGATCAAAATACTTTTTAATGGTACAGCGGTATACAGTAATTGATAATTAAGTTCCACAAATATAGAAAACTACACAAATACGTTGCATTTAACAGTATATACAAATTTACTTAGAAATTTATAAGCTCTATTGGGTTAAATTTTGTTGTATTAAAGTATACTTCCATCATTAATCGACAATAAATTAAGTTAAGCTTTTGGACCAACTAATAAAACGATTTCATAAAAAAGAATTTTCTAGAATTTTTAAATATGTTATTACATGTAGGTATATACGGATCAAGGTATTACTGTACCAACGATAATTAACCCACTGTGGCGCCGTCATCTAATCAGCGGACTTTTTGTGAACTGGCAAATTAAACATTTTACTGCATACTTTTCGGAGGGTAAATATGAAGTAATGGCGATATCGCATGCTACTTTTTTATTACGCTTTCGCGGGGAGAAAATCAGCGCCAAGCGCTTTTCCGTTTTTCCCTTATTTGCCATATTTTGTTGGTCCTTGCCACCGCATGAGTTCTTAATTAGCCCGCAATGAGTTGTCGATACGTCATTTGCGAGTACATAAAATTCGCTTTGGTTTTTGCCCTGCCCTGACATAACAATTTTCGGTTTGTCTAATTGGGGGCCTCTCGTACGCCTTCATCCAAAGTGTTCTTTCGGTTTGAGTTGCTCTCTAATTACATTTCCAACGATGCCAAGCGATTTTGTGTGTGCTCATCTAATGGTGAAAAGGGTGGTGTCCGGGCGAGATGGTGAAGTTGAAGGGTTGGATTTTGGATTTTGGATTGGCAACGAGTCATGTGCAGATAATAAGCCGCTTGCCAGGGTGTCGTTAATTTGTGGGTGGCCCCAAAGCGGCACAATTATCTGGCTGGTGAGGAAAATTATAGAGGTCCGTTAATTGGCCGGAGGTGTTGGCCTGTTAACTGCCACAATTAAAATCAATGCCACGACGACCCAAATCCACAAGGTAACCGAAAGCCCAGAGGTACTCAATGTGCCACAATCTGTAAGGTTAACTTTGGGTAAAAGTTTCTTAAAGTCTATCTCACAGGTTAGTCAAAAGCAAACTTTTTGGAATAGGTTTCTATATAAATGTAACATTATTAATTGGGTTATAGTAAACAAATATTTTTCAATGGTAATTAGGAAAAAATGGGTATAATATAATGTATATATATATAATGAATATAATAAACCTAAACTATCAGTTTTTTTTGATAGTTTAGTTGTATAAAAATAAAAATACAATACCATAAAAACTCTCCACAAAAAAGCCGCCGTTCAAAAAAAAAATTCTTTTTTGAGAAATATTTTTTATATTTCAATAAGGATTATTGTTTTTTTTTTTTTTTTTGCTCAAAATATGATAATTTTTATTCTTGAAGAGTATAATAAATATCAATGCGATTCTTAAAATTAAACTAATAATGAAAAGGGTCCCTGAACTCTTAATCATTAAAGCAGGCTCTGTTGGGAAGGTCAACTTTATTAGGGGGCACATTGTAATTTAGCTCACTTCAAATCACACACTCGTACTTTCCAGCACTATTTTTTCCGAATTATAAAACCCAATTTTCCTGTCCAACATGGCGCTCGTTTACGGAGTGGAGAAAAAGACGGTGCCCACCTACATGAAGTACGTGATGGGCGGAACCTCCGGAATGCTGGCCACCTGCATTGTTCAGCCGATGGACTTGCTCAAGACCCGAATGCAGATGTCCGGAACTTTGGGCACTCGCGAGTACAAGAGTTCCTATGATGTGCTTTCAAAGGTGTTGAAGAACGAGGGCATCCTATCCCTCTACAACGGACTGAGTGCGGGACTGATGAGACAAGCGACCTACACCACGGCCAGGATGGGTGTCTACCAAATGGAGTTGGACTGGTATCGCAAGAACTACGAATGTGATCCTTCTCTGGTGGGCAGCATGACAATGGGCGTAGTAGCTGGAGGCTTTGGAGCCATGTTTGGTAATCCTGCCGAGGTGGCCATGGTACGAATGATGTCCGACAATCGTTTGCTGCCAGAGGACAGACGTAACTACAAGCATGTGGGCGACGCCTTCGTGAGGATCGTTAAGGATGAGGGCGTGGCCACGCTCTGGCGTGGATGTATGCCCACTGTGGGTCGTGCCATGGTGGTCAATATGGTGCAACTGGCCTCGTATTCCTGGATGAAGGACCAATTCCGTGGCCATCTCAGTGAAGGCATACCTCTTCACATGAGTGCCGCTGTGCTATCTGGCTTGCTGACCACCCTGGCTTCAATGCCGCTGGACATGGCCAAGACGCGCATCCAGCAGATGAGAACGATCGATGGCAAGCCGGAGTACAGTGGCACCTTTGATGTCCTGAAGAAGGTGCTGAAGAACGAGGGAACACTCGCCATGTGGAAGGGATTCACACCCTACCTCATACGCATGGGTCCACACACGGTCTTTTCGTTCGTCTTCCTGGAGCAAATGAACAAGGCCTACAACAAACATGTGCTCGGCGATTCACCATCCGATTCGACGTCTTAGGACAATCTATCTGAGTCATACACAACCCTGTGTCAACTTTTTCACCCACAAACAGATTGAAATTAATCCGCTATGCCTCTGTAATATGTGTGTGCTCTGTAAAATGAATATTCTCATCTTATATACAAAAATAATTATCCGTATAACAAAAAAAAAATGCGACAAATGGTATATTATGATAAGTGGATAAGTGGATTGAAATATAGGCAATATAATTCATGATCATTATAAAATATTTTATTAAGAGTTAAATGAATTCATTTGACTTGTATATTCTCTTTTGTATTAAAATAAACACTTTTTGAATTAACTTCTGTCTAACTTGTATATAAAACATATATAGAACATGTAATCGAAGTAGGCTAAGATACAATCTATTAACAGAGGTTTATTCGAGCAAAGAATGTCATTCTAAGCCTTTTAAAATTTTTAAAAATTTAAAATTCCTTATTTACGTCATGGCGTACAAAGTTGAGAAAAAGTCTGTTCCCGGCTATATGATGTACATCAATGGAGGTCTGGCCGGGATGATGGGCACCTGCATTGTGCAGCCGTTGGATTTGGTGAAGACCCGGATGCAGATATCTGCGACCACGAGAGAGTACAAGAGTTCCCTTGACTGCCTGATAAAAACATTCAAGAACGAGGGTTTTGTGGCCCTTTACAATGGCTTGAGTGCAGGGCTGGTGAGACAGGCCACCTATACGACGGCTCGCATGGGGTTCTACCAAATGGAGAACGAGGCATATCGCAAGAGGTTCGATGCGCCCCCGACTATTTTGGCCAGTATGGGCATGGGCGTGCTGGCGGGAGCATTTGGAGGAATGATTGGCAATCCGGCGGAGTTGGCTCTGATCCGGATGATGTCCGATAATCGCTTGCCGCCGGCGGAGAGGCGAAACTACAAGAACGTGGCCGACGCCTTCGTGAGGATCGCAAAGGAGGAGGGCGTGACCAGCCTCTGGAAGGGATGCACGCCAACTGTGGGTCGAGCCATGGTCGTGAATATGGTGCAGCTGGCCTCGTACTCCCAGCTGAAGAATCTCTTTTCCCAGTATTTCTCTGGCCTTCCGCTCCACATCAGCGCATCCATGATGTCCGGTTTGCTGACCACCATTGCCTCGATGCCGCTGGACATGGCCAAGACGCGCATTCAACAGCAGAAAAGCGGCGAGTACAAGGGCACCATGGATGTCCTATTGAAGGTCTCTAGGAACGAGGGATTCTTTTCCTTGTGGAAGGGTTTCACCCCATACCTGTGCCGTATTGGGCCGCACACCGTGTTCGCGTTCATATTCCTCGAACAGCTCACCAAGGCCTACAAGCGATTTGTGCTTGGTGACGAGTCGGAATCGAATATTTGAGTTTTTTTCATACTTTACTCAAAATTTGCAGTCACCGCTTATTCAAAACGTTTTTCATCTAAACTCAAGGCAAGACAAGGTCTAAAAGTTATATTAAGGAGAAATTGGGTCGTCGAATCAGTTTATATGCTATTGTTTTAAATAAAAGTTTGAACAGCGGCTTTTTGCCTTATAATGAATTAAAAAACATGAAACTTTTAGATACATATTACTCAGCTTATCAAACACAACATTGAGTCTAAGCTAAGAGCAACCAGCACCTCGAATTTTCTAACATCCAAAAATGTACATTTAAGCTATAAACTTCTAAAAAATGGTTTGATTTAAAAAGTGCTTGTATGAGTTATTAAAATTGATCCAATAAACATGTACACTTGACAGATATAACAGACTTTTTATTTCTGTGTCATATATTTTCAAGTCTTAGAAAACTGGCAGAAAGGTGTCCAAAAATGTACCTTAAAGCATATCTCAAAAATGCAATGGTTCAACACACAATCATTATTCAAATTTCTAATTTTAATTTAAATAAACTTGGCAGTATTTTTTTTTTAAATTTGTAAGAGTTTTTCAGGAACTGATTTTCAGCTGACCAGAACCTATAAACTTTTTAGTTAGCCAGCAAAAAATTCTAAGTTCATAAATTGCACGATCTGGCTTTTTTATCGCATGCTATAAGTAATTCGCCACTGGATCCATGTGCATCCGTCCCGCTCCAACGATCAGCTGGGCTTTGTGTACCGCTGGGCTTATCAGTCCGCCGATCAGCCGGTCCGGTAATCTGGCCGAGTCAGTTGCGTTCCTACGTTGCGATCGAGCGGTTCGCGAGCGGTCACGGTTGAGTAAGTCAGTCGGGTAGAGATCGGGGTTCCTTGGTGATTTCGGATTACGAATTGGGATTTCTGGCAGGGAGCTGAGCAAAGCAAAGCAAAGCGTCTCTCAATTGAAGCCACTTAAGTTCGCCGCCAGAGATCTGTGAAGGAAATCTCTCACTTGGGGATGAATCAACCGTTGAGTTCATGCCGCGGAAGTGTTAATTTAGCGTCCAAATACAAATACGACTTGTAGAGATCAGCGCTCAGTACAAGTGTCAGCTGAAAGTGCTCTTTGTGTGCCGCACAAAATCGTGCCTGTCCCGTTTTCCAAATATAAATAAAATTATGCAAATGAAATTATGTGTGCGCTACCTTACCAGATAGACACATAAATCGGTAATTAAGTGATAATTATTTATGGTGTGAATTGGGCCGGACATTGGTAAACCTTTTGGGCGCTGTAAATCGCCGGAATAGCCGACGGAACCACTCGATACAGGTGAGTTTGCCCGATAAGAATCTGTATCTGTATCTATCTTGATTTTATGGCGGCACAGTGGGCACTCCTTCAGATTGTGGCGATAGGAAAAGTTCTATCGCTGATGCCTTCGATCGAGTATGATTGATTGATTGCTTGAATCTTGAATCTCTAGCAAAATTTACGAACGGTTCATTGATTGCCGATCAAATTAGTCATAAAGTCTGAGTGCTCAAAACCCGCGGGAACCTCATTTTTATTATAATCGTAGATTGCCGTGGTATATATTGTTCTTGGGGAAATTTTTGTTAAAGGAAGAAAAAAGATATGGCGACCCTTGAAAATATATTCAGGATTTTTTATATTAAAAAACATATAACATTTAGCAACCTGATTAAAAGATAAAAATCATCATTTTTTTATACCAATTGAAAGGTAATTATCACTATTTTTAACTATTCACAATTCAAGACACTTCCCTTTAGCCATAAATCATATTTAACAACAGTTTACTAAGTATCTTAGTTGTCGCATATTTTAAACTTTTCCCTTCTTTCCCATTTCTTTATTAGAATTATGACCTCATAAATCTGTTTACATGAAGATGAATGTTGCTTATCTCAAAGTTTATCTGCTTGCATGTTAGACGTTCGCAGTAAACTGCAATTTTCCCAATCGTCTGATTTGACACTTCGATTACCGTTGAGGGAAAACATCTGAACGCCTGATAATTGCCGGTTGTCAGGTGAGGAATCGTCTAGTGGGTAGGGGTGTAAATTATTCGGCATTTAGCAATTGAATCTCTGATAATCCCCACAGTGCTTGTGGATATTTACCGCTGATAACAGGAAGATAATGACGCGCAAGGTTTTGCTCTAGTTCTGTTTAATTACTTCTTGTTGACTTTTTCTTAGGGCAATTAAAAGTTTCTTATGTTTGCTTGGAATGGTAATTGCCAAAAGCTAGGAAGTAAAGCGCGAGGCAAAGGCAAATAATAAGCAATTTTTATATTTGCTCTAAGCTAAACTAAAAGGATTTCAGTAGTTTTTTAAGTAGCAAAATTTTATCATAAAATACAGAACATAATAGTAAATTCAAATTAAATTTAAGTCACTCGTTAATCTAAATGTTATTCAACCCGTTTGATGTCTATTTTTGCCAAATTCACCCATCGCTTTGCCGCAACGACAGTTGAAACGATTTGTCGGGTTATTTGAACTAGAAATTCTAATTAGCTCCATGTTGTCTGCATATTAATTTGTCAACAAATGACGGAAAATAAACAATGAGTCGCCGCCAACACGCTTCGCTTGTCATTCGAATTTTTTGCGATTTGTTGTTTGTTGAAATTTTAATTGGAAATCAAGCGGCAGAAATCGAATTAAAATGCAATTCGCCCTTCCGAACGAAACTCAATAATGAAGTTAATGTTTGGTTAGAGCGATTAATGAGTGGACAATTGGTAAAGCAAACCGAAATGTGTCAACAAAAACTGAACGCGGTTGAAGTTGTGACAATACAAATATAACTATATATACTGATAAATTTAATATCACAATAATCGAATTAAAAGAGGTAAGCCTGTATTTTCCCAGCTAGTCGACATTCAGATACTTATTTTGCGGTCTTGTAAATGTTAATACAACTAATAATGAAATTAATATTTCATTAAAATAAATCTTTTTTAATATTAATGTAATCTGTGATTAAAATTGTTGTTATAAATGTTTGCTGTATTTTAAACAGTTTGAATTATCTTGAAGTTCAAAGTTGACAAAAAAGTCAGCAATGCCACTTAAAACCAATTATCTAAGTGACAGTTAACACTATACACTCTTTAGTGTTTTAATGAATGCGAATAGGCTGATTAAATACAGATAGCAGAACATATGCTACAGCTTTATAGCAAATTAAGTGGAAGTAATTCATGTTTTAAAGATGTAACTGCGAGTATCTCGCCACAGTGATTGTAGTCAGCTTTACACTTTCCAGTTAGTGTTTTGCAAATTGATAAGACAAAGCTTCAGACAGACAGTGGGCACAATTCTCATGGTATTCGTGTATATCTGAGTCTGTGTCAATTCATTACCATAGCCCATAACGGGTCGCAAAACCGCACGTGATCTAAAGTCCCCCAGTTTGTTATTATTGTAAAACACCCGCACACACAACTGCATCCATAACTGGTTTAATAAGCTCGCTTCTCGCCGCTCGCTTTTTTTCGATCACATGACAACAGATCTGTGGTCTGTTATTCGCGCGGGGCTTTTTATATGTTTTCGAGCATCAAATGCAATTAACTAATAAGCAAATTAACGAACGCCTCTAATGAATTCACAACCATAAAAATGCCCATCTTGAAAGTAAGCACGCAAAAGCCGGGGTCAAAGGTCAATCGCCAATTTTTCGTTTGACCGAGCCGCACAAATCTCA